ATAGCCTCTCCAGCATTTGTTATTGATTTTTTTTTAATCATAGCCATTCTTTCTACGGTGAAACGGAATCTCAATATTACTTTAATTTGCATCTCTTGATCCAGTGATGTTGAACTTTTTCTTATATATTTATTTGACATTCATATGTTTTCATCTGAGAAGTGTATTCAGATGCCCATTTTTTGATTGGGGCTTTGAACTTGGGGGTTCTGATTTCTTTTAATTCTTTGTACATTCTAGATAAAAGTACTTTGTCTGGGGATCAACTGGTTAAAACTTTTTCCCACTCTGTGGGTTGTCTTTTCACTTTATTGGTGATTTCTTTTACTATAGAAAAGAGTTTTAATAAGATGAGCACTCAATTGTCGACTCTTTGAAGTATTTCCTGTGCAGTCTGGATTTTGTTCATGAACTCTCTGCCTACACCTATGTCTTCAAGATTTCTATCTACTTTCTATTCCAGTAGATTTAATGCCTCTTTTAATATTTAGATCTTGGACCCACTTTGGCTTTAGTTTGGTACATGGTGGTAGGCACAGGTCCAGTTTTAGTCTTCAGCATGTAAAAAGCCAGTTTTCCCGGCACCATTTATTAAAGAAGTTATCTTTCTTCCAATGCATATGTTTGGCCCCTTTTGTCAAAGGTAGGTGAGTGTGTTTGCAGTTGTGCCTGCACTATTCAATAACATGTGAAGGTGTCTAGCCAGCCATGGAGGCACACAACTCTGAATTTCGAATTCCCGGTAGTCTGAAGTGGCCGAGGCAAGAGGACTGTAAGCTGGAGCTAAGCCTGGGCTAATTAGTAACTTAGCTTGACCCTGTGTCTCAGTTACTTTTCTGGTTGCTGAGCCAAAATACCCAACACCCAAAATTTAAAAAGGGAACATTTATTTCAGCTCAGTTTGTAGAGGTTTCAGCCCATAGTCAGTTGGTTCCAAGGCAAGGCAGGATGGCACAGGAGCATGGCAAAGAGGTGTCTGACTGTCCTTCCGGTGACCTTAGTAAAGTTGGTTCTTCTGTGAGGTCCTTAGGGAGGGTCTCCTGCTTGGACACCGTAATGCCCCTCTGTGACCCGAATCTCTGACAGTGTGGAGCTCCTGGCTGCCAGCTGTGACCTCTGCCACTTGTGAGGACCTCACCCAGTGGTGCTGCCCCACTGGTGCCTATGGTTTTAGGTTTTGCGGTTTCAGTTATTCTATCCTTTTGAACAGATCAGGGGTACTGTGACTGTCCTCCTGTCCTCCTTTCACTTTTAAGAGGATCGTGTCTGCTTTTAGCATTTCAAATTGAATGCTGAGTTCATTGGCTTTTTTTAATGTTTTAAAATAAACCTAATTTAAAGTTAACTATAACAAAATTGCTTTTTAAGCTACATCCCATGAGTTTTGATTTTATAATGTCCACTATGATTACATGATTTAATGGGCTCTTCCAAGTTTTTCCACATTAAAGCGACCATTTCCCATCACACAGGAACAGTCTGATGTGAGTAAGTTCACTGAGAGTGAAAACAATTTGCAAAATATTAAAAACTTTTCTCAGATTCACGAGTCTGGTGTTGTAAGTTTTTAGTCTCTAAGACTCTGGCAAACTTCAGCATCTTTTCTATTACTTTCTCCATAAACTAGAAGGTAACCAGGCAAGCACACATATTTTTATGTTATTGTTTTACTTTCACTTAAAAACTATCAACTATCAATTAAAAATAGACATTTTATATTCCATATGACCATACACCTCTGACTCAAATACAGAAATACACAAATCCATATACAAATAGAATTTTAAAGTAAACACAGCTCAAGCTAATCATGCTTTTCAGATTTCCCGTACTGTTACTCCTTTTTCCACTTAATATGGTTCAGTTTCTGATTGATCATCTTCTATCATGATCTTAAATTTGCCAAACTCAACTTTTGATTTTGTTTTATGGATTAAGGTTATCATAACAGGTGCAGAGAAGCAATAATTCACAAAGCTTCTTTGCTAATGTTTTATAGTCATTATTCCTAGTAACCATCTCTTCATCAGTTCTACGCGACCTAGTGTTAACATTGCCACACCAGCTTGTCTCTTCATAGTTACTCGATATAACCCCTCCTGGCCTTTATTTTCAAGCCCTAATTTGCTCGTTTCAGGTTTCTCTAAATGTCCACTCTGATAATGAGTGTCTTTCATTACTAAGTTTAACCCACTTAATTTAGGAATATCAATACAAACTGTCACCTATGCTTAAATCCTTGAGTTTTCTATTCACCATAGTTTATTTTCCTATCTTTTTCCTGATTTCCACTAAACTAACATCAATCCCCACACTCCTCCTCTTGAATCTGTCAGTGTGGAAGGTGCAGATTGGGCTGCAGTCTAACTTTTTCCCAACAAATTCTGGTTTATGCAGTGTTGCCATCCCTTCCCTAAAAATAAGAACCTCAGCAGACTCCACCTAGTGATTGCTCCCTCCAGTTAGCTAGTTTTTTATGGTCTTCATTTTATTTTTATCCAAGACAAAATGTTTTTCCCTAAAATTAATAGTTGAATGAATATACTGCCGTAGTACATTTATTTCCATGCTTATTATTGCTTCTTCTACCCTGTAACTCTACAACCACATTACTTCTTATTGAAATGTGTTATGATGGTTAAAATAATGATCACAAAGATTAACTTTAACAGGATATCATATAATTTTTAAAAAATTAGATATTAGTAGCATGATCACACCTATCTAAAAAACCCCACAGAAAGGAAAAGTAACAGAAAGGAGCCAAAAATGAGGGCATCCACCTTTAATTCCACCACTCTGGGAGGCTGAGGGAGCAGGATTCCAAGTTCGAGCCCAGCCAGGCAACTCTGCACCTTAATGAGACCCTGCCTTAAAACGATGAAAAGGTCTGGGCATGTGGCTCAGTGCAAAGGCCACAGGTACAGTCGCCAGCACCATGGACACACGCACGTGCACACACACACACAGAAAAACTGTTTCTTTGTAGCTTAAAATTAGATCAGACTGAGTAAAAACACTTCAACTGAAAGCAGGAATTCAAAACGCATCCCCTCTCCTCTCCTTCCCAACCACCATTCTTGAGGCAAAAGCTTCCCCTGAGTCCACAGCAAGAGCCACTTACAAAGCAGGGTCGTGGCAACACGCAGAACACAATGCACATGGCAACACACTCAGAAGACATGGGTTCTGGTTCAGAAGACTCAGAAGACTGCCTGGGTGGCCTTGGGCAGGTCACTGAACCTTTCCAGATCTTCAGTTCACGTAGAAATAATCTACCTCACAGATTTGTATTAAGAGAAATAAATGAAGGCTGCATCTTACCAGCCTGTAAGGAGAGTCGATGCATGCGTGTGTGTGAACATACATTTTTAATTATAAAGCAAAACATCATCGGCCTACATTAGCCATGTGAACCCCAAACAAATATGAACCAAGGCAAAGGCTAATTCTCTGCACCCTGGCTACTGTCCACTTTCTGTGGTAGCCCAGATTGTGCCTCTATCACAAGGCTGCAGTCTCACGTCCTTCATGGCCTCCTTCACTATTTCCTTGGAGTGGGAGCTGAAATGAGCACCCATCCAGTGCCCTGAGCTGGACGTCAGATTGCTGGCACCACAGCTCTGCATGGAGACTAAGTGTAAGTGGCATTCTAACACTGGTTGTATTTCCCAGACTCCACTCTGTCTGTTTGTACCCTTTTAGTTCCTGATACGGCCATGTGCTTATCAACAGTTATCTGAACTTAGAAAGCAGTCAGCTATTTCAAGCAGTAAGAATGTACATCTAACCCCCCTGAGATCCAGCATGGAGCAATTTTGTTGTAGAAGACAAACCTAAGCTTCCATTATCATAGATTCACAGGATAACACATCCTGAGGAACAGAAGGGAAAGGAAAGCAGGAGGGAGCTCCAATCAGTTGCCTCCTATTAAGTGACTTATTTAATAGGACATAACCATAGATACTTACTAGCCTAAGGATCCTATTTGTTTTCATATTATCAGTTCATTTATCTTGTGTCTACAAGAGAGATCTCTGTGACCATAATTATTCCTCCTATCCCAATAAAAAAAGTTTGGGAGGAGGATTATTACAGGAATAAGTGAAATACTTCCTGAGAGTACTTAATTCAGGGGTTTTTTTGGCAAGAAAAATGTAGATGGGTTTTACAATACAGTATAAGAATGATGAGCAAGCAGTGTCACAAATGTTTTAGAAAATGGACTCAGGCTCTTTAAGAGTTTTCATAGTTTGCAAAAAAATATATATGTAATGTATTGAAATAACATTTAACAAATGCAAGGGTTGGGTGCTTTAAATACTGGCCACAATATCTGCCTTCCTGATCAAGAAGACTCCAGGCATCCAAACCCAAACTCTGCAGCTATGGTGGTGTGTGATGTAACCCCAGCACTCTGGAGGCTGAGGCAGGAGGCTTGCAAGTTTAAGCCCAGCCAGACACACATTTCCAGAACTGTAGCACTAAGGCATCCCACAGCATCATACAGAGTAGGAGAGAATAGAGAGGGGGAGAGAGCTCAGGGGAAAAAGCAGTTTACAGTTGGAGCCCTGTTCCCTAGTCCCCTAAGGTATAGAAGAGGCTCATTAATCTCAGACGCCATGAAAACATAATTAACTTCCACTGACCGAGAACCAAGACAACCTGAGCACAGGGTCCCATGTGGCACTTTCAGGCATCTCAGGGAAGGGTGCCTCTGATGCACGGAGGACCCTTTCACGAGCAGCACCGAGAAAGGCTGGTCACTATGGGGAGCAAGGATAAGGACTGATATGGAAACAGAAAGATCCACTGATCTCTTAGTTATTAACGCAATCAGTCAAGTATATGGAGGAAAACTGATGTCCAAAGCCATCATGAAAGATAGATGATGGCTCACTAAATCAAAAGCAGATCGAGCACAACTCCACTGGTTTCGCTGAAGTAAAAACAAGATGTCGATGCTGTGCTGTAATAATGAGAAACACATCAGGACTCACCTCGTGCTTGGAGAAGAGCCGGACCCCCTCCAGCTGGTGAAAAACTGGGTAGTGCTGGCAGTCGATCTGGTCACGCCGGTAGACATCGCCCACCACCAGGAAAGCGTCCAGCCCTGCGTGCAGCAGGTCCCACTGGTGCGCGGACGTGTGTGCTCTCAGCATGTGAGTCCGGTTCAGGTAATAGTTGTCCCCCTTCTTCCTGCTGGGGTGGTCAGCTGGGATGAGCAGGCTGTCAAAGTTCTGCCAGGTGGTGACCACGGGAGAAAGGTTGTCATAGACAGAGAACAGCGGTGTCCCAAAGCGGCCCACATACTGCTTGTAGAAGTGCTCCTTCACCCTCTCCTTGATTAGCCACAGCGGGTGGTGCCGCTGGTTGTGCAGGTTCCTGCCAACCTTGGACAGGACTTTCTGGGTGAGGTTGGTGTGGTCATCTTGGAGGTAGGATTTGCCCAGCAGCTCTAGAACACTGCCCGGAGCTCCACGAGCGGCGACATCTGACGCGGCTGGCCTCGAGCCCCATGCCCGATGCTGGTGGCCTCTGCAGACATGACTGGCCCTCCTCACCAGGCAGATGTGTGCGTGGGCGACTCTCCTGAGAGCTGAACAAACCATCAGGGAAACCTGTGCCTGCAGGTTCTGGAAAGAGCACACATGCAAAGCACGGGTGAGGCTTCCTCTGGGACAGCAAGGGGGTCCTCTTGTTTGCCACCAGCTCCCCTTTCCTATCAACAGGAAGGTGTCCTAGCATCACCTCCATACAGCGGGAAGATCAGTTAAGAAAATCTGCTAATGGAGGCTGCTATGCTTAACTGTGACCCCTCTGAAACTCACAACAGTGTAAAAGGGAGGACTTTGAAGAGGTGATAGCTCATGAGGGATCCACCCCCTGCATAGACTAATCCCATTACCACAAGTGGATTAGCAGTGGGGGTGTGGTCTCCTAAAAAGGGATGAGTTTGGACCCACCCCACCCTCTCCACCCACCCAGGGTGGTGCAAAAGAAAGGCCTTTGCCAGATGCCAGCATAGGATCTCAGCCTTCCCTGACTTAGAACTGTGAGAAATGACTTTCTTTTCTTTATAAATTACCCAGTTTGTGCTATTCTGTTACAGCAGCACAAAACAGATTAAGGTTTAATGTTTAATGCACAAAATCAAAAGTATCTTGAAAGCCATGTTTAGATTCCTAATTTCTAGTTCCACTTGTCTCATCATTTAGATTTTCTAGCTTTTAGAAATTTCCCTCACTATACTGCCATATTCTAAACTCTTCATGTGGGATAAAACTTTAAGGTGGTAACTTCTTTCATTTTTACTACTTCCTAACCAAAAAAGCACTTTTTAAAATTAATGTTCTTAATTATATCAATTAATGAGTTTCACTATGTTACTTCCTATGCACATATAGAAAACATTAAGCATTAGAGATCCTGGGGCCAGAAAACTTTATAAGGATCACTTGAAATCTTTGGTCCACTTATTTAGAGCCTTATCAGCGCCTCATAAATTAGACAAAGCACGGGATCACATGCAAACCTCTGAGGATAGAAGAAAAAAAATATCTTAAATAACCATGCTTCTTCTTGTCTCTACCTTCTGTCCTACAACTACAAAATTCAGCTTACCTTGGACAGAGCATGCCTTCTGGCTTCTGAATTATTTCACCAAGTGGCAAAAAGATTATTAAAAACGCTTTGTCAATGTTTTGAATAAAGGACTTTAGGTGGTCATAATCTTTATTTCATAATATTTAAAAATAAATGGAAGACCTAAGGAAATGTTACACAAAGTGATAGACTAACAGACAGCTAAACTATTTTATTTATTCATGACCTTGTGCCTGCCAAGCAGTCCTTATGCTGCTAAACCAAATCCCCAGCCTATCTGAAACAATTTTTATAAACATTAAATAATATAAAATAAAAACATTTTTATTTTGCTTGTTTGTTTTTGTTTTGTTTTTATTTTCATCAGTACCAGGGATCGAACTCATGACTGCCTGCTTGCAAGGCAGGCGCTTATGCCACAGAGCTAAATCCCCACCCCAACATTTTTATTTTGCAAAAATGCGTATTTCTACTGCACCCACAATAAAACAGGCATAAGACTGAGTGTACTGGAGAAGGGACACAGGGCTGCCAATAAACTGAGTACCGATCCAGATTAAAATGAAGAAATTGAAGAAGGAGAAGGAGAATGAGGAAGAAGACTAGGAAGAGCAGGAGGGAGAGAAGAAGGAAAGGAGAAAGAGAAAGGGAGAAAGAGGAGGAGGGAGAGAAAGAAGGGGCAAGGAGAAGAGGGAAAGAAAAATGCCAAGGTCTAATAACGTCACCAAATTTCCCAGCCAAAGGTCTCCTCAAAGTCAGCCATTCGCCACTCAGATGAGGTGATGAAAATGTACATACGGCGGAACAAAATCTGTCCGTGCTCACAGCAGAAGTAACACAATGGTAAAAAGATTCCGGAGCTTTAAGTGTTCTTTCCCCAGCCCCACGAAGCCAGTTTTAAATCTCCTCAGGGGTCTCGGTAATGAGAGAGAGTCACATCTCAATGTCATAAATAATTTCAGTTCATAAACCTAAGTCACTCAAATCTTCTGACGTTTGGAATTTGAAGTTATTGAGCTACATTTTTTTTTTTGTCTTTTTCATTTTTATTGGTACCGGGGATCAAACTCACGACCACCTGCTTGCAAGGCAGGTGCTTCTGCCGCTGAGCTAAATCCCCAGCCCCGCTATTGAGCTACTTTAACTCTTACAATACTATGTAGTTATTTTACTTCAAGGGCCAAGCAATCATATCAAGGAAACACAATTTCATGTAAGAAGCTGCACAAGGAGAGAATTATATTTCTCCAAATAACCCACACTAGCATGTAAACGGGCAGCACAGTTTACTGGATTCAAAATTAGAAAGGAGAATAATACCTAATTCCAAATTAAGTGTTGTGCTTTCTGGAATACTGTTTATTAGAAGCCTGTATACAAGTCCTTCACCTAAAACTACACCTAAAACTTCACCTAAAATTCTCAGATACTCAAAGAACTCTGGATGTATTCACTCGCGGAATTATTGTGTCAGAACTGCATCAAAAGCGACTTTGACTGAGCTTCACCTGAAATCTGTCTTCCCATCTAGATTATTCAGCAACTTGTCACGGCAGTGAACGTGAATTTTAAACACACAAATGCAGTCTTACACAGCTTAGTACAAAGCCATGCTGTTAGGTTGTTAGCTACCTGATTCGGCACCCACAGCAAGACACAAGAAAATATTTCTTCCTTCCAATGACATAATGCTGTTATGCAAAGCTCCAAAAAAGGTGCTTTTAGGCAGTGATTGATGGTTACCAACTCTGCTTCGCCTCAGTTTCTAGTTCCTCCCATACACAACCCATTGTATGTTCCCACAGCTTCACCCCATCAAAATGAAAAGATATCTCTTGCACGGGTGAGAGCAATATTTGAAAACAAATGTAAAGGACATAAGATGGTATCTTGAAGGAACGAAATGGGCACTTGGTAAGGACAACAATTATTTATTACTAATCATTACTCCTGGGAGTCAGCTGTGAGATGTCCAAATAGTGGGCATGGTAGTCAAGTCCACTTCTCTGCAAGGCTGCCCAGCTAAGTAAGTAACACTTCTAAAGCTATCTGATACACCTCTTATATAGTCCGGTATTATGCTTGGGCTCTATTTTGGTTTTAGGCTATGGCCACATTGAGAATGCTTTCCACTTTCTTTACCACTATAAATCTAACAAAGTGAACACAAAGGTAAAACTGCAAATAGAGGTTTGTTGTAGAATGAAGGAATTTCATAGGAGTCTGAACGATGCTCTCAGCCTCTATCTTCTACCATGTAAAAGAACCATGAGGTACCAACAGGAACGCCCCTGGACCAGAAGTTTCTCTCAGGGCCAGTTAGCTTCATAAAAAAGGCCACATACAGTCAACACCACGCAGCAATGATGAGACACACCCGATAGCCCCAGATGCAGTACTTCAATGGTATCTACTGAGAAAAAAGTGAAGCTGGACTCGTCCACACACACACGTTTTACTCTACAGAACAATGGTAAGGAAATGGCCAACTCCCATGAATGTATACACAGAAAGGAGCACATCAAGAATGTTTTTGTTCTTTCAGGCCAGCATGGAAACAAAGCAAATGTCTATAAACAGGCAGTTTCTTATTTTACTGGTAGTAATGTTCCTAGGAAGCAATTCAGAATTCTTAAAAGATTTTTTTCTTCTTATTTTTTTTTTATCGGGACCAGGGATCAAACTCACAACCACGCGCTTGCAAGGCAGGCACTTATGCCACCGAGCTAAATCCCCAGCCCCTGGGAATTATTAAAAGATTTAAAAGTGTTCATATGCTTTGACAGGATAATGATGCTTCTCAGAACCTGACAAAGAAAGAATGTACATGAAGACAGAAACTGTTGTGGTTGAAATAGGAAGTGAACCAAAGGCTCATGTATTCGGAGCTCAATCCCCAAGAAACAACAGTCAGAGGTGGAGCCTAAAGGGTGACTGGATCACAAGGATTAATCCACTGCACAGCCATAGCTGAATGAGCTATTGAAATGTAGGGCCCCACTGGAGGAAGCAGGTCACTAGCAGCACACTCTTGAAAAGCGAATCTGGTTCCAGGCCCTTTCCTGTCTGGCTCTTTCTCAATCACTCTGCTTCCACAAGGCTACCATTAGGTGAGAAGCTTCCCACCATAGTGTCTCTGCCTCGGAGCCAGCCATGGACTGAACCTCAAAACCATGAGCCAAAGTAATTCTTTCCTTCTTTAAGTTAATGCTATCAGACATTTGGTCACAGCAATGGAAAGCTGACTAATACAAGTTGATGTAAAGAAGTTTCATTTCAGCATTATTTTTTTTTTTTGTCTTTTTCCTTTTTATCGGTGACAGGGATCGAACTCATGACTGCCTGCTTGCAAGGCAGGCACTTATGCCACTAAGCTAAATCCCCAGCCCCTTATTTCAGCATTATTTACAATAAAAAAATATATAGGTAAGAAAATGTCCCAAAATGAGAATAATGAAGCAAATCAGAACTATATGATAAAATCTTATGCAGTCATTGAATTTAAAGGTAGAAAAGTTTTACTGCTATAACTATATACCTATAATGTGTATGCCAAAATAACTACCTATGTATAATGTGATAAATAAGACATAAAATTGTATAATTGCTAGAGAGAGAGAGAGAAAGAGAGAGAGAGAGAGACATAGGCACAGTATATAAAAAACCATAGGAAAAAACAGGCAAAAAATTTAGTAGCAATTAACCTTGGTATTTTTATACTTTATACTTTGATCTCAATTTTCTAAATATACATGTGTCATGTTTTGAAAAAATGGAAATGTCATAAGAAAAAGTTATTTTAAAATATGTTTAGATGAGTTCTAGCTATTTTAATGGCCTGCATTAAACCCACCTATATAAAGAATAAATGCCAGTATAAATATAATACTGCCAAAGGTAGTTATATGCAGTGACCAGCTAGGCAATTATTTTTTCTAAAAATGCAGGTAGTATGGTAGCATACAAAACTTATTTACCTTTCCAAGATTCTTTCCCTTGGTAAAAATCAAATGTCTAATATTTTCCTGAGACCTTTACAGCTTCCAAATGGTAATACCTGATGTTACACCAATTACATAGTTCACTGTTACATCCATGAAAGAAATCTTAAACACATTAGAGATATCATGTTAGGCTGCATTTTAGCTGGAAGAAAATATTTATTTCTAAGGAAATTAATCATTAAAGTTTAGGTTACACTACACGAATACCTGTGCTATTCATACAGTTCATGATAAGAGCGGCTCAAGGACCTTAAAGAAGCGGGTGCATGGGTACTGCCATCACGGTGCTAATGACCAGCATCGATCAGGGCATCTAAGCAGGACTCACTACATCCTCCCCCAGGGATGGGCCAGGCCTATCAGGGTGGCCTTTTAAAAGGCTTAACCTGCCTCCTTGCAAGCAGCCTCTCCTGAACTGGGCAACCTCTTCCTCACTGTCATCACCACACACTGCTCAGGGTTAGTCTTGATGAGAGTGTATTTTCACTCCATAGCAGGAAGTGTTTCCTGCTATGCTCACGATATCATTATCATCAGCCTCCTCCAAGTTGTTAAATTTAACACCACTCCAGCAGTTTCCCCAACCTGCATGAAATTTAGCATTTATCCAACTTACTGTTTTGACTTATCAACTTTTGGTATATAAAGAGAAGTGTGATATCTTTTCATTAGTGATACGAACCACTTCGATGTCTATTTTTAGGTTTCTTTCAAACATCATGCTAGCCCAACACTGGTGTTAAGCATTTGCTAATGTTGAATTACCAGCCTTATTTCAAGTATCAATAATTGCATAAACAGTACTTTAAAGGTTGTATTCTTTCCAAAGGTCTTGGAACTCTAGAAATCTATTAACTATACGAAGTATACAGTTCTGTTGTTTTTAATGTGTGCACACTCATTGAAGGGCATGATATTCCTTGGCCACTAGGATGCACTAAAGATATCATGATGCTGCAAAACCAAATATTTAAAAACATTTCTTTCACAAGGAATTGAAAGGTAGATTATTTAGATGAGGTAACTAGTGCAACAGTTGCCTAAGAATAATAAATCTTATATTTCTTCTAGTCTAGCTTATCCTTAGCCAGCATGTGTTGCTGGTAGGAATACTGAACTGGTATCAGTGTTATGGTTTGTATCCAGATGTCTCCCCTAAGGCTCATGCACGCATAGGTGGGGCTCTGGGGAGTGACTGGATCACGAGTGTGTAATACTGGATTAGTCCACTGATCGGCTTATCATAGTTCTGGGTGTGGGTGATAAATATACTGAGGAAGGAAGACCTACCCTAGGTGTGGGTGCCATCAACCAATAGGCTTCCAGCCCTGATGGAATGAAAAGGGAAAGAAGCAAGGCTCACTTACCTCCTGCTACCCTACAATGCACTGTTCATTCTCTGCAAGGCCACTCTGCCATGTCACCCCACCTTGGAGTCAGGCAAATATGGACTGAAACGTCTACAAACTATGAGCCAAGATAAACCTCTCCTCCTTTAATTTGTTGGTGTCAGGAATTTTGTCCAGTGACAGGAAAATAACTAAGACAGTTAGAAAATATATTTCCAGTCATCTATCCTTTCTTATATAAATACTAAAGCCTAGATACATTGTGTAGTACTTTTAAACATCTGGAAATAGGGTTCATTGGTTTACTGGGGGGGTTGGCGGGCATTATCTACCAAATCTGTCTTTAGAATGCCTGTGGTACTAGCATATCTAAGAATAGTCACTCCATGCTTAGCATCCTTAAAACTAATTGGCACCCTCACTATAAATATTTCCTAAAAACCTAGTAGCATCAGTATAATGCTATTTCATCAACACAGAAAATTTATTCAGGACTAAGATTTTCAACAAATATATCATAGCAAATTCATCTATGAGATCTTTACCTAGCTGCTGATAAGCAGAGACTTTTAGATACCTTATCCATGAATCAGTAGTGAATTTCCAATGGTATATTCTAACCTAGTTCATAACCATAAACTACTCATTGGCACACTTTCAGTTCTTCACTAATGAATCATTTCTGTTAATGTACAATCAGCATCTTTATTATTTTTGGCTCTGTAACATTTTCTTATTTTTCAATAGTTAGTGGTCATCACCAACAGTGTAAAAATTCCACAACTTACCTTTCTATTTCTCTCCATTGTACATATATGATAGTTCCCGGATATACAAAGTTCCTCACAGACATACCACAATCGGGTTTATAACAACTCTGTTTCTAAATCAATCCTGTTCAAGCAGCAAAGCTTCAGATATAATACAGGAGTTCAAGTTGCACCACAAAGCTGTAGTAACAAAACCACAGGATACTGGCACAAAAATAGATATCAGGACCAATATAACAGAACACAAGATATAGAAACAACCTCATTCACCTACAGCCATCAGACTTTTGAAAAAGTTCCCAAAAAGAAAGCATCTCTAAAAATAGTGCTTGAACACTGGAAATCTACTTACAGAAGATGGAAACTAGATAAGTTACCTCTCACACTGTACTAAAATCAAGTCAAAATGGATCTAAGATCTATTTATAAAAACACAAATTTTGAAACTTCTGGAAAATCACAAAGAGCAGACGAGTGAAGCCATAGGCACAGGCAAAGACTTCCTGAATAATTCCAGTAGCACAAGAAATAATATCCAGAAGGAACAAGTGTTATGACACCAAATTAAAAAACATCTGTACTGCAAAGAAAACAATCAACAAAGTAAAAAGATAACAAGGAATGAGAGAAAATTTTTCCTAATTACTTTTTGTATTGAGGACTAATATAAAGAATTTATAAAGAACTCAAACAATATCTTACTTCCAAAAAACAAATGACTCAATCACAAAATGAGTACATAAACTGAAAAGACTCTTCTCAAAAGATGTACAGATGCTAGCACATGGAAAAATGTTTGTGATTTTTAACCATTAACAAAATGCAAATAAAAATAATATAAAGATCCAAAAGGCACAATAAATATTGTGAAATGGGAAGAAATTGTTCAAAAGGAAACAGGGACTACGATGGAGAAAAGAGGAAAGGAAGGAAAAAAACAAAATACAAGATAGCTATACTACTTTCTCTTAGTTCATTGGAAAGAAAGGTTTGTACTAATATCATCTAGACAATTTTATAAGCCGATATCTTGCATGGTGATTACTTTAAGGATAACAACAGTCAGTGTATTAACTACTGTTATTCTCCTATTATTTTGTTAGGAAATTATGTTTTACCTTTTTCCATAAAATAAATAAAAATAGACTAAAAAAGAACTCATTTCATCCCTGTTAGAATGGGTATCACCAAGAATAGAGGACCTTCCTAGATGGCTGGTGTCAGTAAGCTACAATGGCCAGTATGAAAATCAAGCTAGAGACTTTTTTATAAAATCTAAATATAGAAAAACTACCATCATGCAACTCCTGGGTACATACTGAAAGAAATACAGACATTAGACTGTAGTGATACCTTATATGCATGCGCATGTTCATAACAACACAACTCACAACTGCTGGAGTGCCTATCAGCAAATAAATAGATTAAAAATGCATAAATACACAATGGAATATCTTTCAACCATAAAGAAAAAAGATGTATCACTTGTAGGAATACAGGTAGAACTTAAAAGACCAGAAAACTTAGCAAAATAAGGCAGACTCACAAGTAAAATACCACATGTATTCTCTTATATATTACTACCTAAACTGTAACTATATAAACAAATTCAATAAAAAATGATAGGAAACTAGAAGGTAGACACTTGGGGATGGGGAAAGGGGGTCAGGGAGAGTGGGCGAAAAGGAGAGAAAGGGTAAAGAGATCAAAAATAATCAAGATATGTTACACATGTGAACTAATTCCCCCAAACCAACATCACTATTCTGTACTAAAACATGAGCTAATGTAAAAAAGAGACTCGAGTCACCTTCATTGAACAGAGCAAATCAGTTACTGGTTTTCCTTAAAAGAAAATCCAGGCATATTCTGTTCTTTTTCCAGTGATGGAAGAGCGCACCCTTCTGTCAACAGCTGTCTGCAGAAATTCTCACTTTCCTCCCTGGCAATGCCAGGGACAGTGGTGGAGGCTCTCACAAGGTCCTTCCAGTCCGAGCTAAGCGTCTGCCTGGCACCTGGAAGGGCAGCGGCTGGAACTTCCCGTGCTCTGCAGACGCCAAGGGGCAACACCAGGATGTCCTTGTGAGTGGGGCGCGGGCGTAGCCTGAGCAGGGGACATATGTTCCCAAGCGCCAGCACTCGGAGCTTCGGCTGCATTCGAAGCCAACGGTCACCAGTCACTGGACGCTGTGCGCTCTGCTGTGTGCCTCGCCTCCTCCGCAACCCCGCACCCAGCCCTGCCTCATGGGGCTGTACCTGAGCAGGTACCTGAGCAGGGACCTGGGCAAGCCCAAGGCCGCACTGCCGCCCTCTGCCCAGCAGTGCGGGCATCGGAGACCCAGGCGCAAGCGCGCTGCTCTCCACACGCTGCAGCCAGCTTGGGACAAGGTCAACGCCCAAAGGGCTTTGGCTGCCCACAGGCTGCCCTCCGGGCTGCTCCTCATGCCAGAGCTTTCCTACGCTCGCCTCAGCTACGTGAAGCGCAGGCTGCAAGCCAAGGACCCAGACCTCCAAGCCCTGGTGCGAGTCCAGGTCAATGTCCCTGTGCGCCCTGGGAGCCTATATAAGTGCCCACCGCCCGAGGGGCGCCCAGACCCCTGTGCCAAGGAAACGGTGCTTCAGGTCCTTGCCCAGTGCACAAAAGGAAAGAGGAAGTTCGACGGGCCACTCTGGTTCGAGGTCCCCGAGCCTAAGACGAAGAGGTCGGACCCAAATCCCAAGCCATCTGCCTTCCAGCCAGTGACCACGCATGGATCGATCCCGACCTTCGTGCCCAAGCCCGGGCCCTTGCGCAGAAGCTGCGCCAAGGGGAATCGCACTCTGGGAGGAGGAAGATGAATGTGGCCCCACCGTCCAGCCTTCCCGAGCTTTCCATGTGCCGCTGGGGACCAGGTCACAGCCTCCTCCAGGACTCAGCCCTCCCCCGCTCGAAGAAGGACCCTGCTGTCCCTGAGCACAACTGCCAGCCCCAGCCTTGCGCCTAAGGTCAGGGCCCAGCCACCACCCCAGCCCACCCCCGACTCAAAGCCTCAAAGCCATATTACTAAGTTTTTGTTGGATCATTGAACAGAACTGTTTTGCTCTTTTTTGTTTTGTTTTTTTCTTTCTTTCTTTTTTTTTTTTTTTTTGGTCTTTTTCATTTTTATCGGTACCAGGGATCGAATTCAAGACTGCCTGCTTGCAAGGCAGGCGCTTATGCCACTGAGCTAAATCCCCAGCCCCTGAACAGAACTGTTTGCAATCTCACTGTTTGAATGTCCACTTTGTATACTTTAATTTGTAATTTGAACAACTATTTCTAAGATGACAATATGTAATCTATTAACTAGTGATTTCTTACTGTATATTTTTTTTCTTGAAATTCTGTATTACTTGTACCCTTTCACTGTTTTGTTTTTTCTCTTTAAGTTAAAAAAATAAAGCCTCTGCCCTCTCATCTTCCCTTCTATCTCCGCAGGAGGCGGGGCGTCGCCAGGACACTCCTCCACCCATGACAGGTCTGCCGCCCTCAAAGCACCCCTGCTCACCAGGTAGAGCCCACGCTGAAGAGACCGTGGACTTCCACAGTGACTTACTGCTGCCTGCATGCGTACATCAGTGCTTTACAAAAGACTGTTTCTGTACTAATGATAACAATAGATCTTTCTAGTGTTGATTGCTATCCAGTTTGTGTCTGTCTCTTTTTATATTTTAACGATGTGATTATATTCGAAGTCACACACCAACAACAGCAAAAATAACAAACAGTATGACCTGTACAGAAGTGAAACAACTCACAGGTCTAATCAGTTCTGATTCTACACCCAAGTACGTTTGTACCTACATTCACGAAAAAAGCAAACTTTGTTTTCATCTTTTTGTTTGTTTTAGTCGCGTTCTCAGCTGGCTCCGTAGCTGGCTCCCTCCCTCAGCTTCTCTACCCTCATTTCCACCTCATACGAGGTAGCCAGGAGGCCCCTCCAAAACGTACAAGTGGACATTTCACTGCTTTGCTGGGAAACGCTTAACAGTTCCCAGTCTTAAATACAGAGTCCTCGGCAGGCCAGGCCAAGTGAACATCCTGTGTTTCCTTGAATTCTGATGTATCTATCAACAAAGATGTAAATAGCTATATTTGGATTTTAATTATGTGGTAAAATAACAAGCATCAAAGTGATAGTTAACATTAATCAAAAGGGAAATATAATTTAATATAGCAGAAACATGTTAGAAGGAACATGTTCTCAATTCAGGAGAAACAATGCTACTATTTTTATTTTTAGAGGATCTGACCAAATCAGGCCACATTGCTTTCATTACCTGAACCAAAGGAGGTAGAAGCCAACAGCATAGTTGAAACTTGGTCAAATCGGACAAAGGTTTTAAAGATCAAGCTGCACATGCACAGCACAAAGATCGCCAAGAAGCCAGCCTGGAGGTACAGAAGTCAGAATACGCTGAGTATACAAATCTGGAACTAACTGGGTACCAGGGAAACTTACCCCTGCTGGCTGGGTTGAAAACAATATAACTAAGTTGTATATTTACATAGTCACATTTTTCATGTATCAGCTGACCCAGGTAGAAATAGCCTATGAACATCACTATAGAAGTCAGTAATTTTATTATTCCTGTATGTAATCAGACAAAGTACCTGCAGAAAAGAACTAATAAACCAGTGAGTGGCTCTCATACATGATGTTCATCCAACTCTTTCCAGTGAGTTCAAGATAAGACAATTGTAAAGTGGGACCATTTAAACATTGTCAGACCAAAAGGACAGTGTGTTTGGAAGGCACTGACATGTATTTGCATGAAATCTCTGGAAGAACATTTGGACACACAACCATGCTGACAGCATTCCACACCCTTTCCTTGAGCTTTGCCCAAGTAGACTGGTATTATTTTTCACAGAATTCATTGTGTCTAATCCTAGAATGACTGCAAATTCTGAGTAGCAATGACCTTGCTTCTACTCTGCACATTTTAACAGCCTTGAAGAACATGGAGTGAAGGAACTCTTCTCTAACGATGCATCACAATGTGCTTTTTTGATTTCAGAGCATGTAGAAGACAAAAGAGGAGCTACCAGACCAGGAAACCTCTGCTCCAGCACACAAGACGGCCAACAACTCAGAAATACCTGCAGCTCCTTACCATTCCCAAGAGCTCTTGGCTTGCACAGATAAACATATGTGTAAGTTACTTTTAGCTGGACTGGTAATTTCTTTACCCATCATTGAACTCAGCGCTGTATTTAAGCCATGGTTCATAGCCATCAACAAGAAATTGGCACTGGGCTTATTGCCTGGGGCACAGAGCTCTCACCAGTTGGCACAGGCAGATTCCAGTATTAATGAGTATGCCATTTTTCAAGACAATTATGCATGAACTCAGCACTGCACAAAGCAGGCAAGCCTTATATAAGGCAGTGCCGGGGCAAGTGGGTGAGAAACGCAGAAATCCCTTGACATCAGTGTCTTCTGTAACAGCTACCTTTTGTGCAGGGAAGGTCTTTTTTAAAAACTTAAGTCATAGGGGAGAAAAAGTAGGGGAAAAGCAATTTATTAACACAATTATTATCTGAACAGACCATGCTACTTCCCCGTTGAGAAGAGTCTTTTTATCCCTCTAACTCAGTAGAAAAATGAATATCAATATGTCTTTGCAATTATGTTTTCACTAATTAGAGAATTAAAGGTACTCTGTCACACTGAGAACTTATTCATGAACAGAGGGGAAAAAAAGAATAGAGGGGAACTCATGAGAAAAGTATCTTGTGGTAGATGCAAAAATAAAGGAAAAAAGAAAACTTCCCGAAAGTTTTTCAAAACACAAACCACAGTACTTAGTTCCAAGACAAATCAGCTTTGCTATCACTGAAACGAAAAGTTAAAATCTATCATTAAATAAATACATGAGAGAATGACTGAAGACCAAAGGCTTACAAAATTAAAGCTTTGTTAATAAGTGTCCAAAGATACCACTATTTTTGGAACTGAGGTATTCCTAATCACTCTTTACCTTTCATTCTAAAAAATATCATTACACAAAATTAAACTCATAGTTAAAAACCAGGTAGGGAGGCTGAGGAAGGACGATTACAAGTTTGAGAGTTCAAGGCTGGTCTGGAACAAGCAAGGCCCTACCAATGTCAAATAATGACAGCAACAAAACGATGTCCATTGCTATGACTGCTCTCCTAAATATACCAGGGAAAACATTCTTCTAAATACAGTACATAAAAAATACAGTATATATACACTCTATAAATGAAAAATGCTAAAATCATCACTTATGTTCTTTTGCATCTCAAGAAAGTTAGGCAAGACATAAAAATGCTAGTTGGGTCAACCTACTAAGATCACCTCAGATCAACCGACTACTAATCAAAAACTTTTATTTAAAAAAAAAACACAGTAAGTGAACAGTAGTTCAACATTTGAGGAAAAGCAATATAATTAATTATTCATGGAATACACATAAAATAAGATGTCACTAATATATATGTGCATAAGAGTTTTAAATAAGAACATTCCACTAATGAAAAATAATAATGTTTTTAACACTGAAATAATTTACCAAGCAGGATGGTAATAGCAAGTAAAATTAAAAATTATTTTAAATCAACTCACTAACCACATATTAAAAAACTACTTTAAGCAATTAGAAATGTTGCTGTTATAAAGAAAAAATAGCCTCCAGGTTAAACTCTCTTGTAAGTATTCCACGTAAACAGATTTTGTTCAAGATTTCCCAAATAAAATCATGAAATCCTGGAGTCTTTACTATAATGGAAGAAAGAATAAATCCCAGCACACAAAGGCTTTGCCAAGCCTTAGGGCCCTAATTACTAAGTTCTAAAATGGTACCTACCTACAAATGGTAATGTAATATCATCTTCTCTAGGAGCCTCTGCTTTCTTCTTTTTTAACTCTTTTTATTTAGTCCCTAACCCAACACAGTGAAACACATTCACTACTTTATCCAAAGTCACATCAGGTACAAGTGCATCAGGGTGCAAGGTCTCCTTGGTCCCTGCCCACCCAACCACTGCCATTCCCCACTCATGACAAATGCCAGCCTACCCTGCTGCTGCGTGGATACGACCCCAGTGAGCTCTCTGAAATTTCTTTCCAAACTGAAATACATCTCCCTCTTGATATAAGTCATGATTCCAGAGAGCTGTATCTCTATAAAACCCATGCCTATCCTTTGGGTCCTCTCCAGGATAGCGGCGCCTCCCCCTCCTCTCCTGTTTCCTAGTCACACATTGCCAGTGGCACTGACATGTTCACTAAACTCACTAGTTAACTGTGCTAGTCTAGTAGATCTTGACAAGAACAATGCTTTTAAAGACACCATCCATTCAATTCACATGGAATTTCACAGCTCCATCCATCTCCACAGCAAAGCCAGTGATGAAGAAGTTGAAAAGCAATGCACAATTCATTCAGCAAGCCACTGACAAAGATGAGAATCAAACACTTTTTAAATCTGAAATTCCAAGAAAGCTGCTTTATGCAAGGCAAATTATATTCTGAACGTAGGAGCAAGACGGCACAAGAATAGAAATTCAGCCCACAGGTCAGAAATATGTCACACTGGTCAGCCCTGGCCTGTCCCATGCCCACACTACTGCTCTCTCTGCCAAAATTCTCCTCCTCGAGGGGAGGATCTCCCTACAGTAGGTCCCCAATTTAGGAACACTGGAGTTGTGAACTTTCACAGGTGTACTGGATTATAGTCACTTTATTGGGTTTTGAACAAATCCAACTTACAAACCTTTTCCCAGAATGGAACTCCTTTGGAAGTCAGGGACTTACTGTCATTTTTCAATAACCTCAGAGGTCTTTGCTAATACATAAAAGCATGAAACTAAAATTGCAAGGTATAGAAAACTGATACAATATGTATAGAATTCTCATTATTCTTTGCAGTTATGTTCTTCAAAGTAGCTGAGAGTACTGAATTAGCAAATTCTAAAGCAATGCTAATAGAGGAGATACAGGGTTAGTTTCCTGAGAAGCCGGGGACCCTCTCTCCAGCTGATCAGTTCAGGACATTGTCTTAGTTCTGTTTAAATACATTTGATTTAGTGTAGCTGCCAAAGCACTGACGCTGAACTCAGGACTTCCAGCAGTATCACTCAGGCCTGAGTAAAGCTTTGACACGTGTTCCTCTGTCAGCGCCTCACAACCCTCTTGAGCTGGGGACTCCCAGGCAGCATGCAGCCCTACCTCGTGGGCCATCTCAAACAGCACGAGTTGGGAATATAAACTACAAATACTGTGGAAAGCTATATGGAGATGCCTCAAAAAACTACAAAGAGGGGCTGGGGATTTAGCTCAGCGGTATAAGCACCTGCCTTGCAAGCAGGCGGTCCTGAGTTCAATCCCTGGTACCGATAAAAATGAAAAAGACAAAAAAAAAACAAAACTACAAATAAAAATCTTATGCAGCTCAACTATTCCTCTTCATGATACCTTCCCAAACCAGTTAAAGACACTGTATTACAGTGATCCATGCATGCCTATGTTTATAGCAGCACGACTCATAGTAACTAAATCCTGGAAGCAACCATGCATCCATCAGCCGAAGACTGGATAAAGAAATGTATTTACACTCCATGGGAA